TCAAAGACCGAAATGTGAAAAAAAAATGTGAAATGTGTAAATCATACTAGCTATACAGAACCAAACAGTTCAAATGCCTCATAACTCCACATCCCGGGTGCAGACAACCCTGACAGCTGCAAGCACCGAGGCCCCCTGACTTGAGCTCAAAAGCTAAGTCCTAAACCCCCAAAACCACAAAGAACAAGAACGACCCCAAGCTTCCAGCCTGCAAGAAACCTAAACCTAAACCCTATATACTAGAAGAAGTCCTGCCCAGGATTCCAGCGGCTCCTGTCCCACCCTCCGTGCCAGGCCTGACAACGGTTTAGTTTAGGGGGCAAGGACTTCAGGCAGGGTGCATGCAAAGTAGATTTTGTCCCTCACCCCAAAAACTTTTTTTGCGCCAAGCGGTAGCAGTATTGGCTACAGTTCATGATCTTCGATGCCAAAGCCGACTGATGATTTCAAGTGTAAATACAAAGTGAAGATCCTGCAAAAGAGTAAGTTGAGCTCAGACGTACTCCATGGCACTCAGCGGTGACCCTGAAAAACTATGGCGAAGACACACCGTTGCATCCTGAAGTGTTGCAGGAAATGCCAGAGACTGCGTCGGAATTCATCAAGGAGATGCCATGTCTGTATTCCCTCCACAACACCAAGACACATCAACAAATTATTGGTTCGCGATGTGTACGGAAGCACTTACCGGGTTCAGCATGGATCGCCAGCTCTCCAAACTTACTTCCCTGTGAAAAGCACGGCTTTCGGTCTCACGTACTTGCTTGACATAACGTAGAGCACGGTCGCGCCACATCTGCTTGTTGGATGCTTGATAGGAGACCAGTGCGAAGAATTCATCACCCTCAATCCTCGAAAAGGATTTCGGGTTCAGGGAGTCACTCGACATTCTATCCGCGCCTGAATGGCAGCCTCGAGTCCGCAAACCAGACTCTAAACCCTCAACCTTACCTGGACCCTCAAGAACCTACCTTTTCAGGGCTCCCTCTTGTCATGTCCTTACAACGGTATAGGTCGTTCGGGGTTCGGGTCAGCCCTAAACTCCAAACCCTTCACTTCACCGCCACGGAACTGAGGAGCTGACACCCATCTCGAAGTAGTGAGCTGGCGCAGCCACATTGCGGGATACATGGCCAACCTCTTCTCGCCTGACAAACATCGGGGCTTTTTTCCCTCCTAGGGTCTAATTTAGGGCTTAGTGTGTTGGCTTGCAGGGTTTAGTCTTGATTTCCTGGGTCTTTATCCTGGCGCCAGTGCTGGAGGACGGAAAAGCCTAGACCAAGATTTAGAGCTTACGAACATCTGGAATCACTGGGAGAAAGGGAGGACCCTAAACCCTAAACCCTGTTCAGCATGTGCCACCCCAAACCCTACCGGAAGCTCCCGAGGTCCAGGCATGCATTTCATGCAAAAGGCACATGGGGTTGCGATTAGGGCTTAGGGTTTAGGGATTCAGGCCGAGAGGCGTGGACGATCTGTTGCAGGTTTCAGGCTCAGGCGTTTAGCTGAGGGTTTAGACTTAGAGTCGAGGTTTTCCTGGCTGAAGATTTGCAGGGTGTAGAGTTGTAGGGTGTAGGGTATAGTATGGCTCAGCAGGGTTTGACAGCAACGACCCCTGCTTTCGGCTTCGGCGACCCAGACTCGTCATCGCTAGCGGGCCAGGGTTTGGGGCTTAGGTCATGTGATGTTAGGGTTCCATTGGCTGCGTATCCAGGCCACCTTCAACCGCAAACAACAACAGAGAAGCTCCTGAAAATACTCCAAACCCCCAAACCCCTGCCTGGCTGTCCCGGCGGCATGAAGTAGAGGCAGCGGTGGCTAGGCACCCGCTGCCCCGGCGCAAGGCCCTTCCCGGCTCCTGCTGCACTCGATAAGGAATGATACATGGGTCTTATAAGTCCTCTAAACCCTACAATGCGCTATACCCTATACTCATCTAATGTGTAGGGTTAAGGCTTAGGATTTACCTCTCGTCTCCACTGTAATTGATTTTGGGGGTCACCGTGTAGGATCCCAAGAAATGGAACTACAATGGAGACTATAGGTAAACCCCTTTGTTGAACCCAGACTCTGCCAATCAGCTTCCAGAGTATTGCATCCAGGAAGCAGGTGCACCCCAAAACCCAAAACCCTAAGCCTACAGTAAGGGTTACGGTTCGAGCACATACCCCAAAACGCCTGTTCGAATGATAAGGTTAGACACTCCGAAAAACTCTTCTAGTTGTCAGAATAATGCAGAGACTATAATGATAAGGGTGTAGACTTTTGCTGCTACTACTACTACTACCACCACCACGACGACGACGACTACTACTACTATACTACTGGCAACTAGTCTCTGGTGCAGATATCCTTATTGGAGCTTAGAGTTGCGGAGAAGCATGCCGAAAAAGAAAGCTAGTATCACACATGAGGCAAGAGAGTCATTGCGAAACAACGTCCGTCACCGTCGAGATAAGCAGAACGATCACCGACAACATCCAAAAATTCTACGAATCGAGCTCTGCCGAACACAAAGAAGAATTTTGAGCGGTTACATCCGTGAGTCGAGCCAAACCTTTCCTTTTTGCATGAATCAGACCAATTCTGCAACAACAAGTGGCGAGCCTGAAGTCTGAAGTCCTATAGGGCGTGATGTGCCGCGTGGTTTGGGTTTTGGGCTCTCAATGCTCGAGTATTCCAGGAAGGTCTCTAAACCCATTGTACATGAGGAGTTTCAATTATAAGCTCGTTGCTGCATCCCTTGTGGGGTCGCACCAAAAGCACCGGGCCTCTGCTTCAAGGCGATGGGAATCAGGGTCCATGGTGTCAAATGTGTCGCAAAACGCCCCAAGGCTGAAGCGCACGATGACCCTGCATAAACTGCGAGCTCGCAGCCGCTTTTTGTCGGAGCCGTCGAAGCATCGGTGACACTTTGGTACTGTAATATTCGTCGTAACCCTGTTACCCCAGCAGCTCATAGCAAAGATTCAGATTCAGGAAATCACTCGCTGTCGGAGGCATAGGAGGCCAGTGAGGCAAGGCTGCCTTCGGGCGCCTGGGGCGGCTCCGACTGCTCGGCCTCTTCGGAGGCCGGAGTGCTGTCCTTGGCTTTGACTTGGAAAGCAGCTTTAAAAGCCTTGGAACCAGTCTTCGAGTTCTTGAGTATGGACTTCCGGACGGACAAGGAGGTAGGCTGTTCCGACTGCTCCCGCAGCCTGGCAAACAACTCGGACTCACTTTCGAGCTTTGCCGTGCGAGCTCCGATGGGATAAAACTTGTCGAAAATTCCTTGATCAAGGGCCGTGTTCCTTTTGCTCCTCGCATCCTGGTCGTAGTCAATTTTCAAGCCCTCGTCCACATCTTCCCATTTAAACCCTTGATGCGCCTGCATAGCTCGTGTTGCGTGTTCAATGGCATCATAGTCCACGAAGACCATTCTCCGAGACTTGTGGCCTACAGGACGGCACTGCAAGAAGCCTTTGTCCAGTGCAAAGACTTCTTCCACACTATCTGAAGATTCAGCATCCGGTATACCGGTCACAAATAGGGTATACGATGGCTTTGTGTATGTCCTCTGGCCGTTTCCGGCATCGTACCCTCCGCACGTGTCTCGAAACTTGGAGCCAAACGGGTTCGCATCCTCTCCAGCACGACGTAAGCCAGACATGCTAGGAGTCTACCTGCGCAAACATCGGAATCCAATTATCCAGCTCTTAGACCTAGAAATCAATCTTTCAACAATCTTCTAAACATGATCGAGGTGAGCCCACCTGACTCTGCATGTTCGGCCTGGTCTGGACAACTATGAAGATTCGAGCAGTGTGGGCTGCGAAGATGACTGCAAATGCGTGATGGGCCCGAGTGTTACCACCGGCAAGTTGGAACCGTTGGGACAATTGGTGCAGCAGCATCCTGTGCACATGTACCGAACCACTCGAAGATACCTCAAAATGGCCGTGTAAAAAGCTTGACCCCTACCCCACGATCGAACTTCCAAGAACCTGCGAGAAAAAGGGCCCTCACAAGCACAGGCAGATCGACCACCCTCGAAAACTTTCCATCTCGAGACTGTTTCCATCTCGAGAATGTTTCGAGATCCGAAGCTTAAAGCCGAAGACCTACACAGTCACAGTGAACCGAAATTACCTCCCAGCCCGCCTCCAAACGCAGGCTTCGGTGGGGGCAATTCTGCTGTTGGCCTTGGTCGGGAAGATACGGTGGCTTGGTTCAGGAAGCTTAGGCTGTAATTAATGCCCGGCCCCTATGAGCCACAATCCCATTTGTGTTCCTTTTAGGAAAACTTGTTCCAATGAGCACTCGGTGGGGTTGGGGGCTTTCGGTTGGAACTGTTCTGTAGTTTGGGGTAAGAGCCTTGAGGCGAATGTCAGGGGTTAGGGTTTACGGTGCTGGAGGCTTCAACAGCTGGATTGAACCTTGCTCGCTAGTCTTCTGGAGTCTGACGTTTCGGGTGGTCTTTTGAGCGCCCGTTTGCCGGCTGCACGTTAACTGGGCTGGGCCCCGTATGCCACCCGAACCATGCAAAGCTGCCCGAGCTTCCAGAAAAAAATGCGCCGGGATCTAATTGCAAAGCAATGAATCACGCGTCTCCCGTCCCTCTCTGTCTCTGTCTCTCTCTCTCTCGCTCGCTC